ATTTAGTCTCTCATACGTGTGTGTTGACGGGCAGAAACCTCACCAGTGTGTTTGTGATGTGTCATGTGGTGTTTAGTTTTTTTTTATATCTTTTTTTTAAATTGAAAATTTTTTTAAAAATTTCCAGTGTTTGGTTTTGTTAAAAGTAACCCTTGTTAGAGATTTTCTTAAAAAAATAAAACAAATCACGTTGTACATGTTGAGTGGGGTTTTTCATGAAATTTCCGGTTGTTGTGTGTGAGAGGTTTCCCTTTGAATTACGTGTGTTGTGTGTGTGTGTTTTTCCACTGTCATATGGTATCAATATTCCACTGTGCGTATGGTATCAATATTACCACTGGAGTAGGGTATCAATTTACCACTGTGCAGTATGGTATCAATATTACCACTGGCAGTATGGTTCAATTTAAGGTTGGGGTTAAAGTAAATTTAGGCAGTAAGCTTTTGTCGTGTATTTTTTTAATATATTTCTGTTTTGTTCCATTTTTAAAAAAAATATAAAAAAAAAAAAAAAAATGTTCAAAATAATGCAAAAATGTTTAATAGTTATTTTTTTGGGCTTATTTAAAAAAAAAAATTCTTTCATTTAAATAAAAGGGACGACCATTGCGGATTTATTTAAGTTACAAACGAATACTCATGAGCAAAGTTTAAAAACTTAAAAAATTAAAAAAAAGGCTTTCAGTAATTTTCAATTGTGAATAATGGGAAAAAAAGGGGGGGCTTTTGTGGTCAGGGGCTCTTGATTCAAGGAACTGGGGCAGCCCTACCTCTTCCTCTCAGTCCCCAGGTTGTAGACCCCTTGCGGGGGTGCGCTTCCCCGGGAAAGGGAAACCCTGGGCTTCTTACTCATTTTTGCAACATTGCAAGCTAATGTGTTTTTATTGCAGCACGAAAAAGGCCAAGCTATCATTCAACTTCCCTGTGGTTTTGGCATCCTTTTTCTTCGTTCCCCATTATTGCATCAATTCACCACCACCCCCGACATAACCCGAAATACTAATTTTAAACTTAAAAAATAAAACTAATAGTATAAAATCGCCTTGATACTCCATTTAGACACCTTTATTTTTGCATAAAAAAAAGCATTCCCCTTTCTAAACTCACAAATTATAATGAGCCCCTTGCCTTAATACCCTAAATGTAAGGATTTAATGTTAAAATTAATCTGTCTTGGAAATGCCTACCCGGCTAGGGTCCTAGTGCCCCTCGAAATTTTTTTAAACTTAAACCAACAAAACCCAAATTCCGTAACTCGCATTGTAATCCCTTTTGGGAAAAAAATTTGAATGATTAATTGAATTGAAAAAAGATTTGGGGGCCGGGGGGTTATTAAAGCTCTCGCTTCACAGGCGGGGCTGGGTTCGATTCCTAGCCAGAGTAGAAACATTGGACGTGTTTCTTTCCACTTGTTGTCTATGTTCACCATCAGTAAAATGGGTACTTGGGTGTTAGTGGACTGGTGTGGGTCGCATCCTGGGCCACTGACCTAATGTGCCCGAAATGCTCAGCATAACAAGTGGCTTTCTATGTAATAGTAGTTATATCATTGATGTCAGCTATGGTCTGTATACCTTGTACATTACTTATTATTATTATTATTATTAAAGGTTCGCCAGTATTCTCCCGGCCCGGGCCTTTTCCAAGTGGTGGCCCGGCCTTGACTCCCTCTTTAGGGAGTGTCTGAGACCTAAGTCTCCCATGGGGGAGGCACAAGTACCTCCTCATCTTTGGGACCAACTGTCCCCAGGCCTAGCCACAAGCTAGGCCTCTCTGATCTGCCATCCCCGCCACAAGGGTGCTAATGGGGCTGACAGTCATGTGAGCTGCAAGCTCGGGCTCAGGAACCTACCCTACCCTAGAAAGGCTGGGCATGGTGTCCATCGTACATGTACTTGTAGCAAATAAAGATATTATTATTATTATATTCCTGTCAACAATGGATACGGCATAAATATATAATAATACTAATACTAATAACAACAATCATCATCATCATAATAATAATAATAACAATAATAATAATAATAATAATAATAATAATAATAATAATAATAATAATATAATTATTATTATATTATTATTATTATTATTATTATTATTATTATTATTATTGTTATTATTATTGATCTTATTATTATGTTTGGTTGAGCACCAGTGATGTGGACTAGATCCACAGTACCATCAGGAGTGGACTGAGTCCTCAATGACTTCAAGAGTACAGGCGGTGCACTCTTCAAGACACCCTGGACTCTCCGTGGTACCTTCAAGACACCCTGTACTCTCCGTTGTACCTTCAAAAGACCCTGGACTCTCCGTGGTACCTTCAAGACACCCTGTACTCTCCGTGGTACCTTCAAGACACCCTGGACTCTCCGTGGTACCTTCAAGACACCCTGGACTCTCCGTGGTACCTTTAAGACACCCTGTACTCTCCGTGGTACATTCAAACCACCCTGTACTCTCCGTTGTACCTTCAGAAGACCCTGGACTCTCCGTGGTACCTTCAAAAGACCCTGGACTCTCCGTGGTACCTTCAAAAGACCCTGGACTCTCCGTGGTACCTTCAAAAGACCCTGGACTCTCCGTGGTACCTTCAAGACACCCTGGACTCTCTGTGGTACCTTTAAGACACCCTGGACTCTCTGTGGTACCTTCAAAACACCCTGGACTCTCCGTGGTACCTTCAAAAGACCCTGGACTCTGCGTGGTACCTTCAAGACACCCTGGACTCTCCGTGGTACCTTCAAAAGACCCTGGACTCTCCGTGGTACCTTTAAGACACCCTGGACTCTCTGTGGTACCTTCAAAACACCCTGGACTCTCCGTGGTACCTTCAAAAGACCCTGGACTCCGTGGTACCTTCAAGACACCCTGTATTCTCCGTGGTACTTTTAAGACGCCCTACACTCTTCGTGTGTGTGTGCGTGTGTGGGTGTGTGTGTGCGTGTGTGGGTGTGTGTGTGTGTGTGTGTGTGGGTGTGTGTGTGGGTGTGTGTGAGGGTGTGTGTGTGGGTGTGTGTGAGGGTGTGTGTGTGTGGGTCGTTGGTGTGTGGGTGTGTGGGTGTGTGTGTGTGGGTGTGCGTCCTTGTTGTGTATTGCATATATTTGTACGCTCGTGTGCACATGTCCGTGCGTGCGCCCTGTGTGTGTTGTGCGCGCGGCTCTAGTGTGGGTGTATGATCCACTTAATTTTGTATTTATAAACTCAATTACAATGTGACCAGTGTGGACGTATCAGTGGTTCAGGACTTTGTAATTGTTATGACTGTAAACCAATGTTAGGAGTGAAGTGATTCATACCTCTGTATCTTGCCATGATTAGTGGACCCGTTACCTGGAGTTCATTACCTTTGTAATAGTTTAGCTATCTAACTTTGGGGTCCAGTCACTGCGCACCCATTATGTACCTTTGTAATCTTTTTGACTTCCGCCCACAGGATGGTCTGGGGGGCATAAAGATATTAAAAACGAAGTGTGTGTGTGTGGGTGGTGTGTGTGTGTGTGTGTGTGTGTGTGTGTGTGTGTGTGTTTGTGGGGCGTGAGTGTGTGTGTGTGAGTGTGTGTGTGTGGGTGTGTGAACTCAACAATCCAATATTTGCACCAATAAACTCTTTACTGTTGTGACCGGGTGTGGAAGTGTGAATTGCTCATTACTCTATAATTTGTTCATGATTGTAGCCAAAAGTTATAAAACGTAAGTAACCATTTCTACAGAGTCATTACCTTTGTAACTTGTTGAGCTCATTACCTGTGTACCTAGTTCAAGCTATCAAAATTAGGGGGCCAGTCCCTGGACATTTACGTCCCTCTGTAACTGTAAATACTTTGTAACTTGTCATGATTGTGACAGACTTACTGGAGTTCATTCCCTGTTGAACATTGTTTGAGTTCATTACTTTGGTATATTGTGAGTTCATTACCTTTGTAAATTGTGAGTTCATTACCTCTGTAACTTGCTCAGCTATCAAAACTTTGGAGTCCAGTCCCTGGACCAATTATGTACCTCTAGGATGGGTATGGGGTGCATAATAAACATATTAAACTAACTTAAACTAAACACTCTTCGTGGTACCTTCAAGACACCCTGTACTCTCCGTGGTACCTTCAAGACACCCTGCACTCTCCGTGGTATCTTCAAGACACCCTGTACTCTCCATGGTACCTTTAAGACACCCTGGACTCTCCGTGGTACCTTCAAAAGACCCTGGACTCTCCGTGGTACCTTCAAGACACCCTGGACTCTCCGTGGTACCTTCAAGACACCCTGGACTCTCCGTGGTACCTTCAAGACACCCTGCACTCTCCGTGGTATCTTCAAGACACCCTGTACTCTCCATGGTACCTTTAAGACACCCTGGACTCTCCGTGGTACCTTCAAAAGACCCTGGACTCTCCCGTGGTACCTTCAAGCACCCTGGACTCTCCCGTGGTAACTCGCTACCAAGACACCTGGACTCCTCCGTGGTGATAAAACTATAATAAATTTAGAATAGCGAAGGAATTAATGTAAATTTAAAGAGGGATCCTAAATGGAATAAAGTCACATTGCTTGATTTATTGGTTTATGTAAGGTTACATCAATATAATATATTATTTTATGTTATAAAACTTTTTTGTCTCAAAACTATTGTAAAAATGGTGTAAGTTACAGGTAATACTGAAATGAAAACTTGGTAACTTTATTTAAGTACGATTTTACACAATTTTTAGATGAGTTACAATTTTAAATAATAATACAGCTATAAATTACCCAGAATATAGCTCCCCCGAGAAAAATATAAGTATTTTGTTTCCATTATGGGTCCTTGTGGGTGAGGGGTTGGCAGCTCTGTTTACCTTGCTAGAGGAGGCAAGATTTAAACCTGAGAAAACTTCTGCGCCAGCCTTAGTAGGGCTTGTCCTCTACCTTTTCTCAAACGTAAGTGATGTCTGTCTCTTGCCTGGGTATCAGTGACAAATTTCCCCCATTTTTTCTGGGATACTTGTCTTTATGTATTTTTCCCTGCCGGACACTTTACAGGAGGGGCACCTGGTCATCGGCTTATTTTTAGCCAGCCCCATTGTACGTTCCGCGGATAATTCTTGAACGGTAGTTGGTGGGAAGCCGGTTACTGTACTCAGGTGGAGGTGTGGGCGTCCCTCTCTGCTGGGGCTTGGCGAGGGCGTCCACCGGATCTAATTGGAAACTTCAAGTTTCTATCTCTCTTTACAAAGGAACTTTTGTTCCTTTTATTTCATGGCCCAGGTTTGGGTAACAAATGTTCCCTGAACATCGGGAAGTCGGGTTCAATACGGCTCCTGCTGTCAGTGGCCCTGATAAACCCAACAAAGACAAATTTAAACTAGACTTGTGAGGCGACTAAGTAAGTAAGTTTATTCAGGTATACACAAATACAGTTACATAGAATTATCATACATAGCAGTATGTGTATGTAAGACGTAAGATTATCTTTATTATTCACCACCAACATCATTTTTTATGCTAACGAGCAACTGGGGTGACAACAGTTGTTACTGAACCTGCACAAGCAGCAGCAGAAGCAACTTTCAAATTGATGAGTTGTGAAGCCAGAAGAGTGTGGGAGGCGATAGTAGACCAGTACACCAACATAGTAGACCAGTACACCAACATAGTAGACCAGTACACCAATATAGTCGGACCAGTACCACCAATTTTAGTTGTCCAGTTACACCTTTATAGTGGGACCAGTACACCAACATAGCTCAGCCCCAGTACCCAATATAGTAGACCAGTACACCAATATAGTAGACCAGTACACCAATATAGTAGACCAGTACACCAACATAGTAGACCAGTACACCAACATAGTAGACCAGTACACCAATATAGTAGACCAGTACACCAATATAGTAGACCAGTACACCAACATAGTAGACCCATTTTTTTTTTTTTTTTTTTTTTTTTTTTTTTTTTTATTTTTTTTTTTTATTTACACCAACATAGTAGACCAGTTACACAACATAGTAGACCAGTACACCAACTATAGTCCTAGACTGAACCCAATATAGTAGACCTGTCCACCATATAGTAGACCAGTACACCAACTTAGTAGACCAGTACACTAACCATAGTTAGACCGTACACAACATAGTAGTCCAGTACACCAACATCGTAGACCAGTACTCCAAATAGTAGACCAGTACAACAGTATAGTAGACCAGTACATAATATAGTAGGAACACTACAACCAACTATAGTAGACCAGTACACCAACATAGTAGACCAGTACACCAATATAGTAGACCAGTACACCAACATAGTAGACCAGTACACCAACATAGTAGACCAGTAACACAACATAGTAGACCAGTACACTAACATAGTAGACCAGTACACCAACATAGTAGACCAGTACACCGACATAGTAGACCAGTACACCGACATAGTAGACCAGTACACCAACATAGTAGACCAGTACACCAATATAGTAGACCAGTACACCAACATAGACCAGTACACCAACATAGTCAGACCAGTACACCAAATAGTTTAGTCCATTACCACCAACATAGTAGACCCAGTACACCAACATAGATAGGACCAGAACCACCAATATAGTAGAACAGTACACCAACATGTAGTAGACCCGTACACCAACATAGTAAGACCAGTACACCAACATAGTTGGACCAGTACACCAAACTAGTCGACCAAGTACCACCAATATAGTAGACCAGTACACCAATATAGTAGACCAGTACACCAATATAGTAGACCAGTACACCAATATAGTAGACCAGTACACCAACATAGTAGACCAGTACACCAATATAGTAGACCAGTACACCAACATAGTAGACCAGTACACCAACATAGACCAGTACACCAACATAGTAGACCAGTACACCAATATAGACCAGTACACCAACATAGTAGACCAGTACACCAACATAGACCAGTACACCAACATAGTAGACCAGTACACCAATATAGTAGACCAGTACACCAACATAGTAGACCAGTACACCAACATAGTAGACCAGTACACCAATATAGTAGACCAGTACACCAACATAGTAGACCAGTACACCAACGTAGTAGACCAGTACACCAACATAGACCAGTACACCAACATAGTAGTACACCAACATAGACCAGTACACCAACATAGTAGACCAGTACACCAACATAGTAGACCAGTACACCAACATAGACTAGTACACCAACATAGTAGACCAGTCCACAAATAGTAGCACACCTACATAGTAGACAGTTACACAACATAGACAAGTACACCAACAAGTAGACAGTACCCAACAGACCATTACACCAAATAGTAGACAGTACACCAACATAGACCAGTACACCAACATGTAGTACACAAATGGACCAGTACCACCAACATAGTAGACATACACCAACATAGTAGACCAGTACACCACATAGTAAGACCAGTACACAAACATAGTAGTACACCAACATAGCTAGGACCGTACACCAAACATAGGCCAGTACACCAACATTTTTGTCCACCAACATTGACCAGTACACCAACATCGTTAGCCCAGTACACCAACATAGTTAGCACACCAACTAGTAAGCACCCAGTACACCAACATAGACCAGTACACCAACATAGTAGACCAGTACACCAACAGACCAGTACACCAACATAGACCAGTACACCAACATAGTAGACCAGTACACCAACATAGACAAGTACACCACACATGACCCGTACACAACATCGTAGACAGTACATAACATAGTAGACCAGTACACCAACATAGACCAGTACACCAACATAGTAGACCAGTACACCAACATAGTAGACCAGTACACCAACATAGTAGACCAGTACACCAACATAGTAATACACCAACATAGTAGACCAGTACACTAACATAGTAGACCAGTACACCAACATAGACCAGTACACCAAAATAGTAGAACCAGTACACCATACATTGTCACTACACCAAATAGTAGACAGTACCACCTACCTAGTAGGACCAGTAGCACCAACATAGTAGACCAGCTACACCAACATTGTAAGTCCGTACACAACCATAGAACCAGTACACCAACATAGTAGACCAGTACACCAACATAGTAGACCAGTACACCAACATAGTAGACCAGTACACCAACATAGTAGACCAGTACACCAACATAGTAGACCAGTACACCAACATAGACCAGTACACCAACATAGTAGACCAGTACACCAACAGTAGACCAGTACACCAACATAGTAGACCAGTACACCAACAAGTAGACCAGTACACCAACATAGTAGACCAGTACACCAACAGTAGACCAGTACACCAACATAGTAGACCAGTACACCAACAGAGACCTGTACACAAATAGTAGACAGTACACCAACAGTAGACCAGTTACACACATAGTAGTCCGTACACAAATATCAAAGGAGAACCAGAAGTGAGCTGAAAAAATAATTAAGGTTCAATTGACAAGTTAATTTTTACAGTTGTCTTATAGAGTGACGTACATGTAGATGACTCTTGTCGCCATATTTATGAATATTTCACAAATATCCAGAACAGTACTAAGAACTTTTTGGGTTATCTTGGGTAATTCACACATATGGTACTAGGTATGATAATAGTACCTATGTGTACCTGTACCTCAGTAAACTTAACATTAACACATTACAATTCCAAATTTGTATATTTTGGCTTTCCGATTTATAACAGACTGCAGCATTTGTGACCCCTCATGCAATTTATTGCCTTAAACTTATCTATTTTTTTTCTTACAGCATTATGGATGAAAATCAAGCTGTCCCTTTCTTCACCTGCCTCAGATATTTGTGTCGCAATGTAGACAAGCAAACAGCTCTTTTGAAGGAAGAGCTAAAACTCCCAGCTGGGTGAGACACACTAGTCATTGTTCATTTAATTATATTTCCTATTTTTTCCGCTTGCACATTCAGGCTACAAAGAACATAACTCATCATTTTGTGTCCCATGAAAAGTTATTTATGCAATTTTAGCCTCCCACCAAGCATAAGGGGAATTACCAATAGGCCCCTGGCTGCCTTCAAGAGGGAGCTGAACAGATACCTAAAGTTGGTGCCGGATCAGCCGGGCTGTGGTTCGTATGTTGGACTTCGTGCTTCTAGCAGTAACAGCCTGGTTGATCAGGCCCTGATCCACCGGGAGGCCTGGTCTTGGACCAGGCCACTGGGGCGTTGATCCCCGGAATACCCTCCAGGTAGACATACACACAAATAAGATGAGAAGTGGGAAGATCAGTCAGACGAGCCTGGCCTATGGCCGGGCTCCAGGAGTAGAAAAACTCTTGGAATTCATCAAAGGTATTATTGAATGTGATTAAGATGGATCTGGTCACATCATCTCTGCATTACTTTAAAGCCATGTCTGTATAATCGTTACCTTCAATGTACATAACTCATCACTAAAGTACCTCTTTCCATGAAGGAGGATCTTCAGATTTTGGAATAGAGAATATAATCTTCAACTCACATTTTCAGCATGGAACTTCTGTATAGTTGCACAAGTGCCATGTTGCTGTTAATTTTAGCAAATGACTCTCTTACCTGTATCAGTATCACAAGAACACAGTAAAAGTCTCTCATCACTGCAACTTTGATCTTGAACATCAAAATGGTATACAATACCGACAGGTTGGTAGGCAAGACACATAGGCAACAGTTAGGCAACTTCACATCTCTACTGTTCCTGCCTACTTTCTGTATTCGACTGAAGAAACCTACTGTGTAGGCAAAACGTTTCGGTATAAAGTTGCCTAACTGTTGCCTATGTGTCTTACCTACCAACTTTGATCTTGCAAGTGGCTCATCCTACTCAGTGTTATAGCATCATGGGACTTCTTCACAGCTGCAGCATCATGGTTAACCTTTGAGAAAACCTTGTCCACTTAGATTCGAGGATTTTTCTCTCCATCTCTGTTACACTAGCATGATCCCTGGGTAGTTTTAGCTGTATAAAAACCAGTCATCAGTACTGTACTTATTTTAACTGAAAATAATTCCTATGACCTTGTCTGTTAGTTAAATGTAGAATTTCTTCAGTGCAGTAAACCTTGGTAATTCTGCTTTATTGACTTGTCATAGTTCCAAAGCTAATTCTTTCTCTCCTCAGCTGTAACTGAATGAGTATGAAAATCAACTGTATCCACACTGAATTACCTGAGCAGTAATGGCTACAGTATTTATTGCCTGAGCTGGCTCCACCTGAAGACTAAAATTTATATACAGCCTTAAGTTCATTTTTTTTTTACCTTAGTTTAATGAATAACAGCAAAGTGATCCTGATGCCAAAACAGATTTTTTTCATTATCTTTAATAAATGCTTTGTATAAATTTCTTCATTTTTTTGAGGTAGGGTTTTAGTTTTTTATGAACCTTTATTTAATTCCTCAAGCATAATAGTACAGTTTTATGACATTTATAAGTATTTTTTCAGGCCTATGTTCATTGATGTTTCTTTTTTCAGTGAGAAACCACAGAACTATGATAAAGGTCTTAGAAAAATCAAGAATGAAGTTCAAGACTTAAAGGTAGGCTGAGTGGCATTTTGCCCTTCTTTAAGTACCTGTTTGAAATTAATATCAATTACATATTTTTAATCACTGGTCAACAATTTTTGAAAAGTTGTATGCTTCTTAAATGAGATTAGTTAATTCTTGTGTATTTTCATGTCCTGAATCCAAATATCACCTGAAAAATGTTTTTTGGCTATAGGTTTAAAGATTCGAGACATATAATATTTGATTATTTTATTATAACATACAATATGTGTCAGTATGTTTTAAACTCTAATCTGTACTATTACAATATTACAATTCTGGTGATTAAGCTTATATCATATCTAGGAGAATCAAAACCAATACTCAGCCTGTAGATGTCATTTGACAATTAGCCCATTACCAGAACTGTAATAAGAATATAATTCGGGAGTATAAAACACATACTGTTCTTTTAAAATCTTTACTAGTAAATTATTTTAGCATAAAATAAGAGTATGTACATGTATATTCTTTGATACATAATATTTACAAAGAAACGTCTATTATTTCTCTTTGGTACATAATTATCACATGTCACAATAACAAAGTACATAGTCGTGACCCTGCCTTCCCTGTGTCACACAACACTACCTTTCTCTGTATCACATGACACTGCCTTCTTCCATGTGTCACACGACACTACCTTATTTCGGTGTCATGTCACACAACACTACGTTTTCTCCATGTTACAACACTCCTCTTTGTGTAACACGACACCCTTTTCTCCATGTCATGATATTCCTTCTCCGTGTCACAAGACACTACCTTTTCCACAGGGTTACACGACACTTCTTAATGTCACACAACTCTAGTAGAATTATTCTTACCACTGACATAGAATTATTCTTACCATTGACATAGTAGAACTATCCTTATCATTGACGTAGTAGAACTATCTGCCGACATAGTAGTGCTATTCTTATCACCTATGTAGGACTATTATCATTGATATAGTAGAACTATTATTATCACCGACATAGAATTATCCTTCTCTCTGTGTCACAAGACACGTTACGCACGTCATAGGATAGCCAATAGGAAACTAAGTTCAGCTGATGTAAGCCATCATAGCCAGCAGGAAACTAAGTCCAGTTGGTATAATCCATCAGGAGAACTGCACTAAGTGAGCCTGTCAGGTGAACTCAATGAGGCCGTGGTGAACACTGAATGAGGCCGGCTCAGCAGCCCCAGCACTGGGTGTGATGATGCCACACAGGGTACTGCAGGCCGGTAACAACCGATTAGCAGCACCCAAGTGGTCAGCCAACCACCTCTCCTTTTATCCTGTTCTGGGTATGCAACACATACCTACTCTCTGCCTTTCTGCTTGGCACTTGTAGTGGGCTGAAGAATCATCTCTTGCCAGTGTCCAGCAATAGTCTGCAGGCATCCTTGTGCCCCATTTGCCCTGGTACCATTTTTCCATGGTTGAAATATCTTGGTGAAACCTTTCACCATGTTTGTCACTAACTGCCCCACAGTTCACTGGAAAGAAGATCTAAATGTTAGTCCAAAAATTGGATTTTAAGTGACATGTTACATCCCATGTTCTTGTAAGCCTTGATGAGATTTTCCACCAATTCTTCATAGTTGCCTTCCCTTCTGTTTCTGAGAAATCCCTTTGCCACTAACTTGAATGCTTCCCAAGCAGCTTTCTCTTCCCCATGAAGGTCTGATTCAAACACCATCTTTAAGAAGCTCTTGAATCTGAGGACCACTGAAGACTCCTTCTCTTAGCGTTCCTCAGTGAGGGGAATTTTGACATTAAATACTTTAATCCCTGACTGGATTTGTCCATAGCTTTTACAAAGTTTTTCATAAGCTCCAGTTTTTTGTGTAGTGGTGGTAGCAAAATTTTGTTTGGCTCAATGAGAGGTGGATGTTTAACATTTTTCATCCCAGGCTCCAATGATTGATGAGGTGGCCAGTGGAAACCTCTTGCACGGCTGTCCCATTCACATAGAAAGCAAATAAGTTTCTTTCATATGTGGTGCATAGCCCACAAGAACTTATGGTTTACTATTGCCGTTATGCAGCAAGACATCTTTCAGACTCGTTTTGGATGAATCTATGAACAGCCTCCAGTGACTGGGTTCATAGTCAATGCCAAGTGCTTCCATCAGACCATTAATATTGTTGCAAACCACTAAATCGCCTTCCATTACGAAGAAATCATTGAACAGCTGCCGAAGGTCACGAAATTTTAAAATCTTCACATCACTGCTAGGAGATAGCACTGTTGAAGACGAGAACATAGCAGCTCTGCCTTATTTTTGGGTAGTTGCAGATCCCTGACAAGGTCATGGAGTTCCCCTTTTGTTATGAGATGTGGCCTAGCAGAGTGTGCTTCATCAATGTTTCAGTCACTGTAATCCAGCACTGTCATCCTTCTCTCTTTCTCCTCACCACTTTCTTCATTTGACTCGAAGGATACTGAAGTTGGTGCATCAGGAACAGGTAGACCTTCTCCATGTGGAACTGGGTGAATAGCTGATGGAATGTTTGGATATTCAGTGGACCTCTTTTTTTCTTTGACAAGCCCTTTCATCCTGGAGGTACCATTCCAAAATATCAATTGTTGGTATGGTCTCTTGGCTCCCACCATGTCACTGGCACAGCAAAAGGTATTCCTTTCCTCTTCCAGTTCAACCATTGGCGAAGGTTAGTAGCACAATTATTGCAGCATATGTGTGGACCCCAGTTCTTATCTTGATCACCAGTCTTGCATCCAAAATATAGGTGATATGCCTTTCTAACCATAGCAGTTATACGGTGCTTCTGTGATGCAAAGGTCACCTCACCACAAATGTAGCAGAAGTTGTCTGCACTATTCACACAAGTACGAGGAATCTGAAAGAAGAAAACAAACTGTTAGAAGATAAACAGAAAATTTATTCATAAATTTATCATTATGATACAGAGCATGACAGCTAAGCAGAAGTATTTATATCATTCAGTAAGAAAATAAAATTAATATAATATGCCTCACATGCATATCAATAGCTTGCTCACTGAATATTTATTATAAGTTTAAAAAGTGTTTGGCTAAGAAAATCACCTACCTTTCACCTCAAAATATAAACTTGGACAGCACAACCACCTTCTATGACTGCTGGAACAATAATGAAGGGCAGTGAGATTGAGTGTGGTAAGAAACACTGCCACAAGCCTGTTGGAACCTGTTGTGACATGTAGGTCTATATTGAAAAGTAGAGCTAACAAACAATTTTAACCATGATATTCATTATCAGTGACCTAAAATTAGTTGAAAATTGCTACTCTGGTCTCAGAAGCATTTTGGTTGTTGACCAGTGCTACAGGAATGGGCCTGCTTGTGATATTAAATTTTCTCTAAAAAAGGAGCATATTTATAATGCTCATTTTAGAATGCAAGTTGAGTATATTGTACTGCTATAGGTAATAGGTTAGTAGTAGTAGTAGGTTGGTAGACAGCAACCACCCAGGAAGGTACTGCCGTCCTCCCAAGTGAGTGTGAAACGAAAATCTGTAATTGTTTTCCACTCAAAGGTTCCTGGATGCTGGTGAGGGGCTCTTGATCTAGGGAATTGGATCTGTGCTCCAGTTCCTTGAGTTGAGCCTGAATGCCTTCCATAACCCCCTCTTCCCTCCACATGCGCTGTATAATCCTATGGGTAGGATTGCTGGTATCTTTTTTTCTCATAAACATGCAAGATAAGTATATCTTGCTACTTCTACTTACACTTAAGTCACACTACACATACATGGACAAGCATATATATACACACCCATCTGGGTTTTCTGCTATTTTCTTTCCAGTTCTTGTTCTTGTTTATTTCCTCTTATCTCCATGGGGTATTGGAACAGAATTCTTCCTCCGTAAGCCATGCGTGTTGTAAGAGGCGACTAAAATGGCGAGTGTAATAAAGTTGGTAGAATTACCGACAATATGTAAAGTAAAAGGACACAAGTGCAACTAATGTGACATTTTATTGTGGCAATGTTTCGCTCTCCAGGAGCTTTATTGTGCAACATGCCACAATTAAAATGTCACAGTTGCACTGTTACCTTTACTTTTACATAAAATGGCGAGGGCAAAGGACTAGAACCACTTCTCCTGGTATAATTACTAAATTTAAAAGAGAAACATTTGTTTTCTTTTGCCACCCTTGCCTTGGTGGGATATGGCTCTTATTGAAAAAATAAATATATTGTACATACATGTTATTATTATTATTTTTTCTTTCAACAAACTGGTGTGTCCCACCAAGGCAGGGTGCCCCAAAAGAAAACGAATGTTTCCTTTTAATTTAGTACGTAATCTATACAGGAGGAAGGGTTACTAGGCCCTTCCCGCATTTTAGTCGCCTCTTACAACACATGGCTTACAGAGGAAGATTATGTTCCACTTCCCATGGAGTTAAAAGGAAATAACACAGATACAAAACTAGAAAGAATAGTAAGTAAAACCACAGAGAAGTGTGTATTTACATATATGCTTGTACTGATGTGTTTTCACCTAGTTCTACCATGGGAGAGTATTCGGGGTCAAACGCCCCGCGGCCCGTCTGACCAGGCTCTGTTGGATAGCCGCCTGACTAACCAGGCTGTGCTGCTGGCTGCACGAAACCAAGTCGAGCACAGCCCTGCTGATCAGAACTGACTTTAGGTGCTTGTCCAGTGCCACTGAAGACTGCAGGGGATCTGTTGGTAATCCCCTTTTTGCTGGGAGCAGTTGAACAGTCTCGGGCCCTGAACTTATTGTTGGTCTCTAACGAGCATAAAATCCCCGCTTTCATGGGGATTGGTGCATCGTCTGCCAAGTCCTTTTGCTTTCGTATGAGTGATTTTCGTGGCAAGTTCGGTACTAGTCCCTCAATTTCCAGTGTATAATCATTATTCTCCCATGCTTCCAGGATCAGGTTTAGAAACTCAAGCCTCCCAGTTTGAGTGTTTATCTCCGTTATGCGCGCCGAAAGTCCTGTACATTTCTAGGTCGGCAATTCACTGCCTTGAAAGGTGTTTAGGTGCAGCAAAATTCAGCTAGATAGAACAATGACCTGAAGAGTGTCATCATGCTTGGCCTTCCTAGTTTTGAAGTTCTCATATCCATACTGTCATTTTTCTAGCAGTGCGATTGAAAAACAATGTTTGGTCTTGAAGTGAGACCTCCACATAATTCACTCCAGATAGAAGGTTGGTAACAGGCAACCGTCCCAGGATGTACTACCTCCTGCAAGGAATGTTAAAACGGAAGCGTAATTTGTGTGTATGTTCACCGTGGTTGTTAATATATTTGATGGGGTTGTAAGAGAAGTAAATGCGAGGTCTTAGGCAAAGCGTGGAGTTAAAAGATAAAGAATCACACATAAGAGTGGGAGTTGATCACAGTATGCTCTTTGCTGTACACTGTGCTCTGGAGATCTAAAAGTTCATTGTGACCTAAGTGTAAGTAGAAGTAGCAAGACGTACCTGAAATCTTGCATGTTTATGAAACAATTACAGGCTTCCGTTTTACATTCACTTGGCAGGATGGTAGTACATCCCTGGGCGGTTGCTGTCTACCAACCTACTATCTTGGATTTTTTTTTTTTAACACGCACAAACACACACACACACACGACTAAAATGCCGGGAGCAAGGGGCTAGTAACCCCTTCTCCTGTATAAATTACTAAATTTAAAAAGAGAAACTCTCATTTTTCTTTTTAGGTCACCATTCCTTGGTGGGATATAGCCAGTTCGTTGAAAAAATATATATATATACTTGTATAAATTATTCATTCAATACCTGTCTTGTCAGAAGTGTTTAGACACCATAATTCAAATGACTTCTGAGTGCAACATCCCTATTGTCTCTTTAGAGTGCAGGCACTGTTCTTGCCACATTCGGGATGCACATCTAGCTACCCTATTTCTCCTGAAACATTGGTATGTTACTTTGCTCACACACTAACAGCATGTCAGGTCTCTAAAACCATTTGTCTCCACAATCCCCAGTCTAACACTTCCACACCTCCCTGCTGCATGCTCAATCCCTTATGACTGGGATGACCCCTACCCCTCCTTTCCATCTCATATTTATGTGCCCTATTGGTCATTGTATTTTCCTCCAGGCTCTCTAAATGCTTAAACCACCTTAAAAACCCTTCTGGCCTAATACTCTTAGTGACTACAGTTTTCAAATTGCTGTGCTCCAAGTTCTTTGCAAAGTATTCACACCATATTGTTCTTAGATATCTCTGCCTTCAGCTTGGTAACTGCAACATTTAAATCCCATGTATCACCATGATAGCCTCCCTTTTATCACTATTCTCATTTTGCTTCCAGACAAGAAAACTAATATGTTTTGTTCCTTCTTTCATTGCCTTGCAGAACTTGTCTGTAGATGTACATCACAGACTCAAGTCATTTGGCACCTTCTCCAGCTACCTTAAATCCATTCAGGAAAATTTGAATCTGCAAGCAATTGACATTGATAAGTTGGAACGCTATCTGTCCAAGTAAGTTTTCTACGTAATTTGTGAAAAGTATTTGCCAAGAGGATAAATAAGTATATAAGATATGATGTAGGGCGAAATGACAGTAGTTTGTTGGATTATGTATAGGTAGATAAAAGACTGTTGAGTAGACTTCAGGATGTACATGTTTATAGAGGGGCCACAGATATATCAGATCACTTTCTAGTTGTAGCTACACTGAGAGTAAAAGGTAGATGGGATACAAGGAGAATAGAAGCATCAGGGAAGAGAGAGGTGAAGGTTTATAAACTAAAAGAGGAGGCAGTTAAGGTAAGATATAAACAGCTATTGGAGGATAGATGGGCTAATGAGAGCATAGGCAATGGGGTCGAAGAGGTATGGGGTAGGTTTAAAAATGTAATGTTAGAGTGTTCAGCAGAAGTTTGTGGTTACAGGAAAGTGGGTGCGGGAGGGAAGAGGAGCGATTGGTGGAATGATGATGTAAAGAGAGTAGTAAGGTAGAAAAAGTTAGCATATGAGAAGTTTTTACAAAGTAGAAGTGATGCAAGGAGGGAAGAGTATATGGAGAAAAAGAGAGAGGTTAAGAGAGTGGTGAAGCAATGTAAAAAGAGAGCAAATGAGAGAGTGGGTGAGATGTTATCAACAAATTTGTTGAAAATAAGAAAAAGTTTTGGATGTGAGATTAACAAGCTAAGGAAGCCTAGAGAACAACTGGATTTGTCAGTTAAAAATAGGAGAGGAGAGTTATTAAATGGAGAGTTAGAGGTATTGGGAAGATGGAGGGAATATTTTGAGGAATTGTTAAATGTTGAATGAAGATGGGAAGCTGTGATTTCGTGTATAGGGCAAGGAGGAATAACATCTTGTAGGAGTGAGGAAGAGCCAGTTGTGAGTGTGGGGAAGTTCATGAGGCAGTAGGTAAAATGAAAGGGGGTATAAGGCAGCCGGGATTGATGGGATAAAGATATAAATGTTAAAAGCAGGTGGGGATATAGTTTTGGAGTGGTTGGTGCAATTATTTAATAAATGTATGGAAGAGGGTAAGGTACCTAGGGATGGCAAGAGATGCATTAGTTCCTTTGTATAAAGGCAAAGGGGACAAAAGAGAGTGCAAAAATTATAGGGGGGATAAGTCTGTTGAGTATACCTGGTAAAGTGTATGGTAGAGTTATTATTGAAAGAATTAAGAGTAAGGCGGAGAATAGGATAGCAGATGAAACAAGGAGGCTTTAGGAAAGGTAGGGGGTGTGTGGACCAGGTGTTTACAGTGAAACTATAAGTGAACAGTATTTAGATAAGGCTAAAGAGGTCTTTGTGGCATTTATGGATTTGGAAAAGGCGTATGACAGTGTGGATAGGGGGACAATGTGGCAGATGTTGCAGGTGTATGGTATAGGAGGTAGGTTACTGAAAGCAGTGAAGAGTTTTTACGAGGATAGTGAGGCTCAAGTTAAAGTATGTAGGAAAGAGGGAAATTATTTCCCAGTAAAAGTAGGCCTTAGACAAGGATGTGTGATGTCACCGTGGTTGTTTAATATATTTATAGATGGGGTTGTAAGAGAAGTAAATGCGAGGGTCTTGGCAAGAGGCGTGGAGTTAAAAGATAAAGAATCACACATAAAGTGGGAGTTGTCACAGTTGCTCTTTGCTGATGACACTGTGCTCTTGGGAGATTCTGAAGAGAAGTTGCAGAGGTTGGTGGATGAATTTGGTAGGGTATGCAAAAGAAGAAAATTAAAAGTGATTTCAGGAAGAGTAAGGTTATGAGGATAACAAAAAGATTAGGTGATGAAAGATTGGATATCAGATTGGAAGGAGAGAGAGTATGGAGGAGGTGAATGTATTCAGATATTTGGGAGTGGACGTGTCAGCGGATGGGTCTATGAAAGATGAGTGAATCATAGAATTGATGAGGAAAAGGGTGAGTGGTGCACTTAGGAGTCTGTGGAGACACAAAGAACTTTGTCCTTGGAGGCAAGAGGGAATGTATGAGAGTATAGTTTTACCAACGCTCTTATATGGGTGTGAAGCATGGGTGATGAATGTTGCAGCGAGGAGAAGGCTGGAGGCAGTGGAGATGTCATGTCTGAGGGCAATGTTGTGGTGTGAATATAATGCAGAGAATTCATAGTTTGGAAGTTAGGAGGAGGTGCAGGATTACCAAAACTGTTGTCCAAAGGGCTGAGGAAGGGTTGTTGAGGTGGTTCGGACATGTAGAGGAATGGAGCGAAACAGAATGACTTCAAGAGTGTATCAGTTTGTAGTGGAAGGAAGGCGGGGTAGGGGTCGGCCTAGGAAAGGTTGGAGGGAGGGGGTAAAGGAGGTTTTGTGTGCGAGGGGCTTGGACTTCCAGCAGGCATGCGTGAGCGTGTTTGATAGGAGTGAATGGAGACAAATGGTTTTTAATACTTGATGTGCTGTTGGAGTGTGAGCAAAGTAACATTTATGAAGGGGTTCAGGGAAAACCGCAGGCGGACTTGAGTCCTGGAGATGGGAAGTACAGTGCCTAGCACTCTGAAGGAGGGTGTGTAATGTTGCAGTTTAAAAACTGTAGTGTAAAGCACCCTTCTGGCAAGACAGTGATGGAGTGAATGATGGTGAAAGTTTTTCTTTTTCGGGCCACCCTGCCTTGGTGGGTATCGGCCAGTGTGATAATAATAATAATATTTGCCAATCTTTCATAAATTTAGGGCATTCTATAATATATTCAAAATTACACTTTTACTTTATTTAACCCTGCCAGTGGGTAAATTTACCAGCCAAGTCTACTGTCTGACATAAACTGAAATATACTTAGCTTCAGTGATGACTCAGACTTCTTGCAGCTGCAGTCAAGAAGTTTCCTTCATTTGAGTTGTAGTAGCCCCACCACTGAGCTGTAGAATGACGAGTATAGTTAAGGTTAAGAATCTAACTCATATATTTTCCAGTATAACAATTTACTGGAGTGTGATAAGCTACTCGTCTGAGTTTTGTGGATGGCTTTCACATAACGGTCTAGAATAGGTCAGCCTTAATCACCTTGTGTCTTCCCCTGGACTGCAGTACATGAGGGCATTACAAGTGAAATTAAGACTTGCCTTGCTTGTGGCATTAACTGCACCATGTAGGCCGAGAATGTTGTCTTGTGGATGAATGCAGAGGTGTCATTCAGAGAATGTTGCACTTATTTGTTGCAGTCACTCTCAATACTGGTTACACACGTCATATAGTACCATCATTTGTTCATAGTTTCATGGAATTATCCACACAGGAGGAAGACAGATACGCATTAACACTACATGATTAGTTCTATCACGAATTTCCTGACTCTTATAGGGAAACTAGTCTAACTTTCCTAGTTTCCTGAGATTGTTAGAATGAGCAAGAGTCAATAATGCACTGGTCACTACAGTCCCTTTGTCTTTTAACGATAAGGAGGCAACGCCCTCGTGACACATCTCTCGTCCGTTCCTTGAAGCAATCTGAGGCCCTCTGCCCTCTTGCTCCTCATCGTACCCAAAAAGGATATGTGAAACCCAGCTTTATTTCTCTCCCTTGCTACACATCTCAACAGTACTTAGTATAAGAAGGTAGGTTTCTTGTTATCTAGCTATAGACTAGAATACTTAATAGTTCCAACTTGTAGATAAAGTGGGTGCAACTTTTCCCTTAATTTTCCTGCTAAGGAAAAAGAGTAATGACTCTTGTTTAACTGCACTGTGTAGTTGCAACAAGTTTAGCAAGGAGAGGAAAGCATGTCTTGTGATGCTACAGTACAAATGTGGGTCTGATTAATCTGTTTATGAGGAAATAGAGTCCATTAGCCCCTTCTGGAAGGGCTAAGTCTCTCAGAGGGCTGAAGGGGCTGAGAGATACCCCCTTTACTGGAGAATTTTCTCCACACGGGGGGCAGGCGAAAGTTTGCCGTTGGTGACCTATTCATCTCTTAACATCATTTTGATTTTCTCATTCGCCACCTCTGGAGAATCACTAAGTTTGTTTTCAACACTGTGTAATTCTAACAGCACTAGTTTATCTATTGTCTGTTTATTCACTACACCTTTGCTCAAAACTTCAACTGTCCAGATGGTTCCATTTGCATCAGGATGTATGGTCACTATTTTTCCAAGAGGCCATTGAGACCTTGGACCATCACTGTCACCAGGTCTTAAGGACTTATGATTTTTAGGAACACCAGCTCCATAGAGGTGTTCTCTCAGTGAGGTGAGATAGTCTTTTCACCAAATTTTCTCTCAATGTTCAGTCACTTTATTAAGGTGTTTGAATTTACGCTTGAGTTGCTCAGGTTCGAGATAAGTAGGATCCTCCATGATTTCTTTATCATGGGAGGAACTGATTCGAGCCTTCTGCCATGGAGTAAATGAGACAGACCTAACACTTCCAAATTGTCCGATGATCAATAACATAAGTTAGAGGTATGTTGTTGACTCCGTTTTCTGCTTCAGTTATTACTGTTCGAAATTCTTCTAAGTTGATTCGCTGATGATGAAGAATCTTTCTTAAACAAAATTTTATGACACCTATCATTCTTTCATAAAATCCGCCTTGCCATGGAGCCTCAGGAGGAGTGTTTCTAACGACAACTGCATTGATTCAGCATCTGTTGTACCTCTGGTTGATCGAAGATCTTGCTTATATAAGCAGCACCAGCAACAAAGTTCATTGCATTGTCTGAAATTATCAGTCTGGGACATGCCCTTCTGGCTCCAAACTCTCTGAATAGTGTGATAAAGGTTTCAGCAGACATGTCAGTGGCTACTTCTAGATGTACTGCTCTAGTTATAGTACAGGTGAACAAACAGATGTACACCTTGATGGGAACTTTGTCAACTGTTTTAGTTAAAATTATTGGTCCAGTGTAATCTACACCTGTCATCTCAAATGGAATGACACGACATACTCGCTCAGCGGGATATGGAGGTGGACCTGGATATTGACATACTCGCATATCGAAGTGATAACAAGCAGTGCAGTCCCTTATGTTTTTGCACGCTTTTTCAACCTTGAAATATCCAGTA